CCCTGGGAGGCCCTTCCTTGCCCCCCAAGGATTCCTACCCCGCTCTGGTGCATAATCAGGCTCCTTCCCGGCTCCCCTCCCTGACCTGCCTGCAACCTACCTCTCTGTCACCCTAGAACACGCCCACACTCACTCTTTACCTACAGAAAGGCTGTAGAGACAGCCTTGAGGGCTCAGCTAAAAATAACACCTCCTTAAGAAGCCCCCAGGTGAGGTCAGGGCCCCTCGAATGGTGAAATAGCAACTAAATGAAATACCAATCGGGCTGCTTTTGGCTGCAAGTAAGAGAAGGCCTGCCTCAATCTTTACCCTGTAAGGAAATGAATTACTGTGTGTCAGCAAGGCTGGAAATTCTAGGGATGCCTGCCCACAGGCTGGTTTCTCTGCCCGCCTCTGCCCTGCGGCCTGCTCCTTCCTGCTATTCCACCTTGCCAGGGGTGGCTGCCAGACGGAGGGAGACCATGGCTTCTGATGCCTCTTCCTTAGGCATGTGATTCCATCTTTCTCAGAAGCCTCTGGAAACATCTCCAGTCTCACTCGCCCAAATGAGCTTAAGCTTTCCATGCTCGTGTTAAGAGGTGGGATGACCAAGCTTAATTAATGGTGCTTTTCACACCTTATGCCACAACATGACACAACAAGAAAATGGTAGTATTTACAAAGGATCCTAGGATAACTGGATGGGGCTGCTCGGTGCAAAGTCTTGGACTGTCCTATATCCTGACCGGCTGAAGGAATCGATAAATGAGCACAAATGGAATGAAGACATTTCTGGCACATCAGGGGGACGCTTTGCTTGAGGTCAGGGGTCTCAAACTACAGCTCCACTACCCGTTTGTGTAAATAAAGTTTTATTGGGACACAGCCACACCCATTCATATAGGAACTGTCCTACCATGTACTTGGCCATATGGCTTGCAAAGCTGAAAATATTCATGATCTGACTCTGGCTCTTTATAGAAACATTTGCCAAACTTTGGCTTAGACTGACCAGAGTGGAATAATATTGGCAAGACAACCACAATGCCCATTACAGTGCCTGACCCTTTATAACACACTTTCCATATATATAAATGTGTGTGTGTGTACACATACACACACACACACACACACACATTTATATATTTAAGTATATGTGCCTTTCCTGTTAGTTTTTAAGTTCCATGAGAGGAATAAATAGTGTCTTTTAATTAATTTATTTATTTTTGGCTGTGTTGGGTCTTTGTTTCTGTGCGAGGGCTTTCTCTAGTTGTGGCAAGCGGGGGCCACTCTTCATCGTGGTGCGCGGGCCTCTCGCTACGGCGGCCTCTCTTGTTGCGGAGCGCAGGCTCCAGACGCGCAGGCTCAGTAGCTGTGGCTCACGGGCCCAGCTGCTCCGCAATAGTGTCTTTTAAAATTCGTTCCTGATGCCATGTCCCCAGCACCTTGCACAAGGCCTGGCACATCGAAAGCACCCTATAAATATTCCTTTGCTTAATAATTGAATGAATGCACTCCTTAAATAATCTGTCAAAGTGGGAACAAAAGCAACATGATTTCTTTTGGGATACGCTCGAAAGCAGCGGTCCCCAACCTTTTTGGCACCAGGGGCTGGTTTCCTGAACATTTTTCCTCGGATGGGGGGCGGGGAATGGTTCAGACGGTAGTGTGAGCAACGGCGAGCGTTGTTGAGCGGCAGATGAAGCTTCGCTCACTGGCCCGCCGCCCACCTCCTGCTGTGCGGCCCGTTCCTAACAGGCTGGGGACCCCTGCTCTAAAGACAGCAATCACAGCTCAGTAACGGCACGCCAAGAAGTTGACCCACATTCCACTATAAAGGAGGCCGTGAACCTTAATAACATTAACACTGCCCAACCCTCGGGAGGAAAGATTCATCCACACGCTGTCTATGGAGAGGCGCAGAAACAAGCTCAGATTCTCAGATGTGGCAGAGACGGTACGGCCATGGCTAGCAGCGCGTACGCCACTAACACCGGGCTACAGAGTCATCCTTACAGAGAACGCTCACCCTCCCACGCACAGGGCGGCTCCCAACCCAGCCGCAGGCTCTACAAGTTTGCTCTGTAATCTCTCACTTCCCTCACTCCGTGAAGTTCAGCTCTCATCAGTGTTCCAGAGAACAGTAATACTTTAGTAAAGACAGAAAACACAGGAAGTTCGGTGGGAGAGGTGTGGTGACATCTCTGTGCCACGGTTTCCCTTTAGGTCTTCTTTAGGAAGAAAAGATCACAGGGTCTGAAAAATTAATAGTAACCTGGAGAAATGGAACTCGATAAAGCCAAAATACTTCTTCAGGGGACCCAGAACTCATTTATCTGCAGATAATGCCAGTTTTGAGGTTTTTTCTCATCATCCAATCTAAGAGAAATTTAAAACTAAAAAGGCCAAAATTAAAACAACGCTGTAATTTTAAGGTTGCTAAAATGGCTTTAGTGAGTTTATAACATAAGAAAATTATCATCACTAGCAAAGAAGGAGGCACGTGTTTTGTTTTTAACGTTAATTTTGACATTCAGATTTTTAATCCTCAATGCTGAGAAGCTCTAAAATCCTGCGGTGCAGTAGCGAAAACTGCGAAAACAGGATCTGAGTTGCATTATAACCTGCTAATTAATATGGCAAAACACAACAGCAAGACACCAGCAAGAACAGGATTCTGACCAAGTTGAGGCCTGTGTGAAACAGCAGAGAATCCCTCAAATACCAGAGAAAGAAAAATGCCAAACACTGTATTGCAATATCTCCCCTGGACACAGTTTGCTTTCCAATAAAAAAAAAAAAGGATAGGCTAGCGGTTAACTTTGTGCCAGCATTTTCCCCTTCTCTGCATTTACAACAATCACAAACTAATCTAGCCTTAGGATAGCTTCGCCTTCAATGAGGGAAGAATGGGCAAAGGAAAATCTCTTATTTTTTATCCATGCAAATTGGGTGGTATTTCAGGCACCATCTCCTTTTCCCAAAGAGCCAATAGTATTTTGAGGGAAGCAGGTGTTTGTCTTCCATTGAGTCACACAAAAATTGCTTCATTTTCAAATTCACAGACTTTTTATATGATATCACATCTGCCCATTTTCCTCAGTATCCAACAGAATTTTTTTCTTATAAGTTCTTTTATTTATTTATTTTTTGCTGCATCACGCGGCAGGCGGGATATTAGTTCCCCGACCAGGGATGAACCCACGCCCCCTGCAGTGGAAGCACGGAGTCTTAATCGCTGGACTGCCAGAGAAGTGCCTTTTTTGTTTTTTTTTGATAAGTTCTAACAAAAAATTTTTAAATGAATTGGGATATAGTAATACTGCTGTTAGACCAGTTCCCTCGAAATTTTTCTACTTAGAAATATTTAATATGAAAAGCAGATAGATGTTTAAGTTAGTAACTCACTATGCGCTCATTGTCAAAAACTTAATCTGTCTATCCTTATATTAGGGAAAAATATGTTGGCTATCATTTGGCAATAAGTGTTTTATGGGCTCATAATCTTCGGTCTAGTTAACACCAATTCTAGAAAAACATCCTAAGAAAATAATTCAGTCAAGAGAAGACTTATATTCATTAAACTACTCCTTACAATATGTTTACTAACACAAACCGAGTAGGCAAAATACCCAACTAGAAAGAAATAAGCAAGTGGTTAAGTAAATGTCGGTTTCTCAACCAACTGAAATATTAGCTAACCATTACAAATTATAATGGTGCAAACCCTGTCGTATTATGCAAAACATTTTTATAGGCTGCCAAGTAAGTAGAATACATTCTCTGCACAAGTGAGAAATATCTCAAATTTTCTGATTAGGACACAGAAAAAATCATGAGCCCTTCATCAAGGTGTGAACTGTGGCCTACCTGATCACAGACCCTATTTCCTGGGTCTCTATGGTCCCCTGATGAGCTTTCTTCATCCCTCCCCTGTGCTTTGCTGAACTGTAATCCTTGCCTGCCAGATAATCCACAGGCGCCACTTTAAGACCCAGCTCCATTCCCATCTCTTTCACAAAGTTGTGTATTACCCTGGAGTGAAACTGCTTTAGATTCCTTAGCACTGACTGTCATTTTCTTCATCATAGTATTTGCTTTATCTTCTCAGATAGACAGTGAATTCCACAGAGAGAGTTACTTTTAGTGCATAAAATGACTCAAATATATGATTTTTGAATGAATGAATGAATGAATATTAACTCCTCATAGCAAGAACCATTTCTTTTCTTTGTATCTACAGTACCTCCCATAGTACAGGCCAACAGTGGATTATACATAGCTCTTTACTAAACAGTTGAAAAAATGAATGTATGTGTATTGTTACACGTGACTGCTGGCTCCAATCCTGGGATGCGTTTTTCTTCCCCATCCCTTTTCCACCTTCTCCTATGAAAGATCAGAGAAGGTTCTCTTCTAAAAGGAGTACTATGCATGAAGAGAACTTACCCAGGTCAAACTGGCCAGAAATGTAGCCACAAGTCTGCCGGACCTCCTCACTGTCCCAGCCCAGGGGGTACAGGGCACAGCCAGCACCGATCAACAAGCCTGCAAAGAGAAAAGACAACAGGACTTTAGCAATGCCCCTCTGCAGCCCTAGATAAAGGTACAAGGGAGAAGAAATCAATATAGGCAATATGACAACGGAACATGGGGTCTGCTTTTGGGAAAGCACCAGCCAAGCTCCCTTTAGTGACCTAAGTTCAGTTTAATTCCAAGAACAATTCCAAGTCTGCTTAAAAGGGGGTGGGAGGTGGGAAGAACAACCTTGACAGACAGCTCAGTTTGGTTCCAACTTCCCCTTTTAAAGCATTAAAAGCCTTGCAAATCCTGTTTAGGGAGTACAATCCAGAAGCCCTTTTAATCACTCTTGTAAAAAGCCAACCCATTCCACCCTCAATCCATGTAAACAAGTAATTTGAGAGCCAGCAAAAGGGCCTCATTGGTTATGCATCATCATTCATTAGATCGCTTTTTCCAATTTAAGAATCAAAATAGAATGTTTCAGCATCATCAGATTTTACCAGGGGCAGAGAGAGCATAAAGATTTTCACGAACCACTTGAGCACATTGATTGAACTCGTGGACCATGCTACGGTTACCATGCTCCCCTGAGAAGTTGAGAATCGCCAAGTGTCCACGCATCTTGGAAATACTCAAGAACACAGACGCTTACTGTGACTTCAGTTCTTCTTGCAGCGAAGACCAAAAGGTTTGATGAGTGAACTAAAGCAAGGAGCAAGCAAGGTTTTATTTTAAGTCAAGGTATCATGGCAGCTCACCCTGAGTGGACAGCTTTTGATTGGTGAGTCTTCAGTTTTACATCAAAACCTATCAATAATATGGTTTTATGAGAAGCTGAATGAGACTGAAGCACTGACCAATCAAATCTGAGGGCTAATCTGAAAGTATCATCTTGTCACATCAGTCAGCGAGTATTAACATCACCCGTAAATCCACAAGTGTGCTGAGCCAGTGGGACCAACGCATACACAGTCTGATTGTCTGCAGGACTGTGGGTTAAAAGGCGCTAAATAAGTGAGGCCCCTAAATTAGAAAACCTGTTAATGTGGTAATGTATAGGCCGAACAACAGTGTCCCCAAAGGCATCTAAGGGAGATCTTCAGTATTTCTGGATTGAGTCTCTTCCTGTCCCCCTGTTGCTTCTCCCTTGCCCCTGGTGGATGACTTGAGTAGTTGTAACCTGTACAAATTGTCTGTTTCCTCACAGGCATCTAAGGAGGAGCTGCTTTCCGCCCCACTCCCCCAACCTCTATGCCAGCTGTGTGGAGAGACATCCCCCAGAAACTGACACGTTTTCCACCCTGTTGCCCCTCCCTCTGATCCATCCCTTAGACCACAGTAAAATGAGCATCTAATGCAGAAGGGCTGTGATCCGAGGGAATGCCTGCAAAGAGTCACTGCAGCTGCAAATCACAAATTCCAGGATACCTGTATGCAACTGTGTAAATATGAATTGTGTTGAGGCTGAAGAATAATTCAAAAAGCAATTAATACGAGGTTTGCTGACTAAGCAAATATCCCAGTGACCAGTTTCCTTAGGCTTTTTGCCTTAGGATAAAATTTATAGCATTCTGAAGACAATTCCAAACTAGTGTTATCCACCATCAGGTAAAGAGAGAATTAATGAGGATGCCAGAGTTTGTGCAAACTGAATTCCATGAATGTTGAATAAATAATGTGGCATCATTTCCATGATGCTCAGTTCTTAAATTAATAAGTAACACCACTTTTTGAGATCTGGTGAGCAATTTTTAAATGATGACACGCACAGAAAGGCCGTTAGGTATAAAATGTTCAAGGGTAAGCAAAATGAAAAACAGTAAAATTTAAAGCATCAGTATTCCCTTTATCTGATAGGCAAACAAATGATAAACAGTCTCAATTGCTAATGTTCTTACAGTATGGCAGAAAAATATGTGTCATGTGTTCATGAAAGAAGCTGCTTTTTTTTTGTTTTGTTTTCTGTTTTGTTTTTGTTTTTATCAGAATTTATTCTTAACTTCTGAAAAGAATTGCTTTTATTTACAGTTATCCAATGCCGGTTGTTGTGTCTATATGAATTTCTTATTTAATTTAACTAAATTAATTAATTAATTAATTAATTTAATACAGCAGGTTCTTATTAGTTATCTATTTTATACATATTAGTGTATATATGTCAATCCCAATCTCCCGATTCATTCCCCTCCCCGCCCAAGAAGCCGCTTTCATCCAGTATAAGGATCCCAGCATTTTGCGAGACTAAACAGAGAGGAACTTTTAAGTGCCTATTATGGAGCAAACAGGCCTGTGATTCTCTAAGTGGTACAACACTTGGTAGTCAGGGTCCTTCTGTGTAATAGAATATAGGGCTGTCTTTGTAACAGTACGAAATATGGAGCCAACCATATAAATTAGAAATAATTTTATACATAGGAGATCTGTGTTAGGTGTAAGAATTAAAAAAAGAAAAATACCATGAGCATATGTTCACATTAAAAAAGTATTCAGTGGAGGGCAACTAGCTTATCTGGATTTTAGTATTCATATTTATATAGCCGTTGTTTTGTCATCTGCTAATGTTTGCTAACAGTAAAGATACTGCAGATTCTGAAGATGTGGGCAACATTTCTGGGAGAAAAGTGCATGTTGCAAACTCCTCAGGCTAAGTGATTGTTGCAGTAATTAGGTTCTGTAGGTAAATATCTGGCCTCCCCACTACCTCGCTACTATTATACATTAAGGTGAAAGCAAGTCTCGGGCCGAATTCAGCCAACTACAAAACAACTGTTTACTAGCAGGCTGCCACAAAAAGCGATCAGATGACCAATACTCTAAACTCAGTGAAACCCTCCCCCAACTCCATCAGACAGTCACTCTAACAAATACCTTCAGAACACAATAAATACAACAATTGTTCAGATAGCAGGATCAGGGACACTTCAGTTCAGATGAGACAGTATCTTCCAGTTGATGGAATGGGACAGGGTGCAGGAGTCGAGTTCTAGACCTGCCCTGCCCTACGCAGTAGCCACGAGCTACATGTAGCTATTTAAGTTTAAATTTAAGTTAGGGAATTCCCTGCCACTCCAAGTGGTTAAGACTGGTGCTTTCACTGCCAGGGCCTGGGTTCGATCCCTGGTCGGGGAACTAAGAGCCTGTAAGCCATGCGGTGCAGCAAAAAAAGAAAATTAAGTTAATTAAAATTAAATAAAAATAAAATTCAGTTCTTCAATTGCACTAGCCACATTTCAAATGCCTAGTAACCACATGGCGCTAGCGGCTACCATATTAGACAGTGCAAATACAGACCATTTTCATAATCACAGAAAGTGCTATTGGAGAGGGCTGCTCTAGACCTAAGACACCACTTCAAAAGGATGGGAAAAAACTTGCCACTCTAAAATGTCCCTTTGGAATGTGGATTATTTCTAACTAAAAACAACCAAGGCCCAAAAGATTCAGGAAGAAAGTTTGACCTTCCCCTTAACTGCCTAAAAGAATGTAGACAGAGGGCCTGTTCCAGGAATAGAGCTATCACCAGAGATACTTGCAAAGAATACGGGCAAGTGTGGTGGAGGAAACTCTACACAGGGCTTAAAGATCAGAGTTCACTCTATGTCCCACTGTCTCTGCCCAGCCCAGTAAACATTTATTTACCAAACACTTGCTTCTCCATCTCCATGTAAATTGCCTTCCTCCCCTCTGAAGCCCCAAAGGATTAACCCCCAACATTCTCTTTGTCTTAGCTGAAGATGGTATTTAAAGTCAGTGACGGTTTTGCCATTTCAGGGAATCAATCACTCAGTTTTTCCTGAGTCTCTCCCCATGTACACATGTTATTAAACGTTTGTTTGATTTTCCTCCTCTTAATCTATCTCATGTCAAGTCAATTTAATTCTTAGGCCAGCCAGAAGAACCTAGAAGGGTAAGGGAAAATTTCTTCCTCCCCGACACTGGACTGGCCAGATTCTTACACGTATGCCTGGTACTGCTTGTTAACGATCAAAATCATCCTTACTCTTTTAGATTCTCCCTTTGTGGGTGGTGGTGATGGGTGGCTAAAAGCCAGGAAACTACATTTCAAAAACTCTCCTGCTAGCAGAAGTTCTGGCTCATAGTCTGTCAATGAACAGGTAAAAGGGAGGAATAAACCATATTCCCCATTGGCAGCTGCAGCCAGATGACATGCTCTTCTGCAGACAGTAGACATGATATTTGGGGTGTGGCTTCCTGGCATCCCTCTCAGCCTCAACTCTCTAAGGGCAGATCATCAGCTGTCCTCACCTTTGTTTTTCGGATAATTTTTGATTTTTTTTAAAAAAATTATTTTATTTATTTATTTTTGGTTGTGTTGGGTCTTCGTTGCGGCGCATGGGCTTTCTCTAGTTGCGGCGAGTGGGGGCTACTTTTTGTTGTGGTGTGTGGGCTTCTCATTGTGGTGGCTTCTCTTGTTGCAGAGCACAGGATCTAGGAACGCGGGCTTCAGTAGTTCTGGCACACGGGCTCAGTAGTTGTGGCTCACGGGCTCTAGAGTGCAGGGTCAGTAGTTGTGGTGCACGCGCTCCGGGCATGTGGGATCTTCCCGGACCAGAGCTCAAACCCATGTCCCCTGCACTGGCAGGTGGATTCCTAACCACTGCCCCACCAGGGAAGTCCTGCCGTCACTTTTGATCCCTGCACTTCCTGAGCTCCTGAATTCTTCAAAGCAGCTTCTCTGACCTCCACTTCCCCAGACCTCCTAGTAGGTCTGTGAAACTTTAAATCCCGGGGTTACATTCCCTGCTGCCTGAAATACCTAGAGTGGTTTCTTTTATTGGCCAGTCCCTGGCTGGTACGTACCCTACTTGTGCAAGGGCAGAGGGGCTGATACGAATCTTTCTATCTGTCCATTACTTAAACATCCATTTTCTCAATTAAAAATGATCTCAAATAAAATTTATGCCAATTACTAAACCTTGGGGTAAGTATAGTGATATTAAAAGGCTTTGTGTTAACTTCCTCTGTGGTGTGATCTCTGGTTAGGGAACTTATGCTAATTAACG